AGAAAACAATAATGGAAAGATAGCTGAAAAATCCCAAAATATTTCTACATTAAATGACATGATTCTATGTAACACATAAATCAAATAAGTCTTAAGAAATTTAAAAACATTTGGAACTATATGAAAATGAAAAACAACGTATCAAAATCTGTGGGATCCAGTGAAAGCAATGCTTAGAGGAAAATTTACAGATTTGAGTGCATTTATTAGAAAAGAGGAAAGCCCTGGCCAAATAGCTCGGCTGGTTGAAGCATTGTCCCAATGCTCCTAGGTTGCAGGTTTGATCTCTGGTCAGAGCACATGCAGGAAGAAACAAATGAATGCACAGATCAATGTTTCTCTCTCCCTCCCCACCTTCCTCTCTCTCTAAAAATCAACAAAAAAATTTTTTTAAAAAGAAAAGATCTAAAATCAATTTTCTATGTTTCCACCTTAGAAAGAAAGTAAGAACAATATAGTTCTAAAACAAGCAGAGGAAAGAAATTAATAATTGGAGTAGAAATCAATAAAGTTGAAAATAAGAAATCAACAGAAAAAAATCAACAAAACCCAAAAGCTGGTTCTTTGAAAAGACCAATGAAATTAATAAAACTCTAGCCATATTAATCAAGAAAAGAAGGAGAAGACACCAATTATTAATATCAGAGATGAAATACAGATCATTGCTATTGGTCCCATTGACATTTAAAAGATAATAAAAGAATATTATGAAACTCTAGGCCCACAAATTTGATAACTTACATAAACTGGACCAATTCTTTGAACAACATTACCAAAATCCACATAGAAAACTAGATAGTTGGAACAGGTCTGCATCTATTAAAGAAATTGAATCAATAATTAATAAACTTCCAAAGAAGAAAGTACCAGGCCCAGATGGTTCTTCTGGTGAATTCTGCCAAACATTTAAAGAAGACATGATACCAATTCTCTACAATTGCATCTAGAAAACAGAGGCAGAGGAAACGTTTCATATCTTATTATATGAGACCAATATTACCCTAATATCGAAACCAGATAAAGACCAGACAAGAAAGACTATAGATCGATACCTCTCATAAACATAGACGCAAAAATCCTCAACAATGAAGGACACATGGACAAAACCAAGGAGAAGGGTGGAAGCTAGGGATGGAGGTGGGTTTGGCTGGGGTGAGGGGAAATGGAGACAACTGTAATTGAACAATTATAAAATAATAATAAAAAAAACCCCTCAACAAAATATTAGCAAATTGAATCCAAAATTGTATTGGATTTTATACCATGATCAAGTGGGATTAATACCAGGTATGTAAGGCTGGGCTCAACATTCAAAAATCAATTACTCAATCCCATTAAAAGACTAAAATGAAAAACCAGAGGATCGTATCAATAGATACAGAAAAAGGATATGGCAAACTCCATCATGCATTTATGATAAAAACTCTCAGCAAACTAGCATTCAGGGCAACCTCCTCAACTTGATAAAAAACAACTACAGAAAACCTGTAGTTGCCATCATGCTTAGTGCTAAGAAACTAGATGTTTTCCCCTAAGATCAGGAACAACGCAAGAATGTCTCCTCTCACTACCCCTATTCAACATCATACTAGTATACATGCAAAAGTCAACTGCTTTCCTAAATACCAAAAATAAACTGGAGTTTAAAATTAAAAACACAATATGACTTACATTAGTACAAAAAGAAAAAAAATACTCATGTCCATACAAAAACTTGTACACAAATGTTTACAGAAGCATTATTTATAATTGACAAGAACGGGAAGCAATCAAAATGCCCTTCAATAAGTGAATGGTTAACAGGCTGTTTGCAGTCCATCCATACAATGACAAATTTTCAGCAACAAAAAGAAATTATTCATTGGCTTTTAGGCCACAAAAAGATATGGAGGAGCATTAAATGCATACTGCTAGGTGAACAAAGCCAATTAACAAAGGGTTAATGACCCAACTATACAACAGAGCCTGATGACCCAACTATATGACATTTTAGAAAAGGCAAAATTATGAAAACATAAGAAGACCAGTGGCTGTCAGGGGTCTGAGGAGAGGGAGGAAGGACAGGAAGGAGGTATGAACACACTGGGGACTTTTGGCACAGTAAAACTGTTCTTTAAGATACTGTAATAGTAGATTCATGACGTTATGCATTTATCAAAACCTACAGACCTCTACAACACAAAGAATGAATAAACTGTGGAAATATTTTAATAATTTATCAATATTGGTTCATTAAATGTACCACACTTATACAAAATATTAATAGTAGGAAAAATTGTGTATATAGTAGGGAGGGGAGGCATATAAGAATTTTATATTATCTACTCAATTTTTTTGTAAATCTAAAACTGTTCTAAAAAATAAAATTTAGCTCTTTTTCTCCCTGGCTGCTTGAAGACGGGCCACCATCACAAACGACACAGTAACTATCTGGACCACAAGTTCATGAACAACAGACTACTTCAGCAGAAACAAGAGGTCATCGACGTCCTTCACCATGGGAAGGCAACAGTACCTGAGACAGAAATTTGGGGGAAACAAGCCAAAATGTGCAAGACCACACCGGACGTCATCTTTGTGTCTGGATTCAGGACCTGTCTTGGTGGTGGCACGACAATGGGCTTTGTCACGATGTGTGGTTCCTTGGATCACACCAAGAAAAATGAGCCCACAGACTTGCCAGACACTCTGCACGAGAAGTGCCCGGGAGCACAGAGGGAGGAACACAGGAGCAAAACGGGAAAGTCAGGGGCCTGCACAGCCCAGCGCTGGCGCCAGCAGAAAGTGATGCTGGGCAGCGGGAGTAAGGATTCCTCAGTGACTGCCTGTGTGAGTGTGCAGATTTTTCGTGAGAGGACTAATAAACTAAGAACTTTAAAACATAAATACAATAAAATCTATTAATTAAAAATATCACCCTGGAAGCAGAGTACAGAATGGACTAAAAGGGAAATAGAGGGAAAGCAGGCACGAACACCAGTTTGGAGACTGTTAATACCAACATTTCTTTACATCAACAGTTTAGGAGAGTGTATATTTAATCACACCTTTGCCAGAAATGAGTGTTATAATTGTTGGTGAAAATAACTTACTATAGTTCATATTCTTTAATGACTAATGAGGCAGAGCACCCTTTTTATGAGATAATTGACCCGTTGTTTTTCTGTGTTATGTCCTGTGTCTCTTTTTCAATTTTTATTCTTTTCCTACTGATTTTACAGACTCTTTCAGCTTAAAACCTCTGTATTCTGTCACAACTTAAAAAAACCTTTTGAATTTATAACCATCATTTTAAATCACTGCATAATATTTCATCAACATACTATAACTTACCCATCAATTAAAACCAGTTCTCAGTAGTTTTAAGATTTTATTTATTTTTAGAGAGAGGGGAAAGGAGCGAGAAAGAGAGAGAAACATCAATGTGTGGCTGCCTCGCTTGTGCCCCCTACTGGGGATCTGGCCCACAACCCAGGCAGGTGCCCAGACCTGAAATGAACCATCGACCCTTTGGTTCACAGGCCAGTACCCAATCCACTGAGCCACACCAGCCAGGGCAGTTCTCAGTATTTTCTCAATATTACACATATTACCAAAATTTCGTGCATAGAGATTTTTCTACATTATGAATTCTTTCCTTTGAATACATTTTTGAAATTGGAAATACTGAAATGCAGACTAAAAAATATTTTTATAATTTTGATGGGAAGAATATTATCAATTTCAATACATCAACAAGGGATTAAAATGTTAGATTCATTGCATACTTACAAGCACTAGGTATTATATTATTTAAATATATTTGCTAATTTAGTATCTAACAATTTTGCTTTTTATTAATTTGTACTTTAACTCCTGGTAAAAACTAACATTTTCTCATATATTTACTTGTTTGTTTTTTCTTGAGAAATTTTGGTTTATATTCTTTTTTTTCAAGATTTTATTTATTTATTTAGAGAGAGGGGAAGGGAAGGAGAAAGAGAGGGAAAGAAACATCAATGTGTGGTTGCCCCTCACATGTCCCCAACTGGGGACCTGGCCCGCAACCTAGGCATGTGCCCTGACTGGAAATCAAATGGTTTGCAGGCCCACACTCAATCCACTAAGCCACACCAGCCAGGGCTGGTTTATATTCTTTGCACGCTCACCCAAAAGTGTAATTCTTTTCTTTGTTGAACACTGTAACATACCTATAAGAATATTTCAACTAATAATAAACTACTCTTTTATTGTCTCCATTTACTGCAAATATTTTTCACTTTCTATTGGTTTCCTTTCAATTTTAGTTATACATTTGTGACATACAGCGATTTTAATTTTTATGCCATCAAACGTAATAACTCCTTTGTGAATGTTTTGATAATTTCTAAGCCTTACTGATTGTACTCCATTCAGTAGTTTGAAAATTATACTTTCTTTGTGGTTTTCAATGATTCAGTGATTTACATTTAACTCACTAATCTCACAAGACTTTAATTCGTTTATAATAATAGCTAATAAAGACCAAGTTTTTAGTATATGACAGGTGCTATTTTAGGCTATAACATGTAAACTTATTTAATCCTTACAACTACCTTGTAGGGATCAGGTATTAGCATCCCAATCTCACAGATGAGGAAACTAAGGTTTAAGTAATTCATCTGGATCATACACAGGCACTATACCCATCAGTAACAAGGGTATTAAGCAGTCTAGTCTAAGTCCAGAACCAGAGTCTGACTCCATAATCACTACATTGTACTGGTAATTTTTAATAACAATTCTCCCCATAACCATTATTTTGTAATGCCTACTTTAATTACTGGAGTTCTTTTCACAGGGTTCCTTCATAGACCATTTAGTTTGCCCTCCTGATCTGTCTTTTTAGAGTAACAATGTATGGTTTTAAATACTGTAAGGTATAAAATGTCTCAATTTTTTAAACTTTTAGGATGTTTTAGCATAATTTTAAAAGGAATGTGATATAAGTGAGGAAATATGCAATCTTAAGATATCCTTACCATACACTGGCGTCTTCCCTGGCAGGATGACAATAATGAGCTGCAGCCCTGAGTAGGTGTTCTTGAGATGCCGGAACATGGGCTCCACGCTGTCTGCCCCCTGCGCATATTTGCAGAAGCAAGGCTGGCCCTGGATGGGCATCCCTGCATCCTTGGAAATCTTCCGCAGCTGGTCTGTGAAACCCCTAGGAGGAGAAAACACTAAAAATAAAACCTTTGTCTAGTCATCAACACCTACAAAGTAGTAATAGAAAGTTTGGGAAGGGAATGGAGAATGAAACAAAGATTAATGTGCTCCATAAATGAAGAGGTCACCAGACCACTGATGTTAAGGACAATGTGGGTTGGTAATTTATTTTGCAAATTAACACTAACACTACTTTTATGTGGCATTTTGGTAGTTTATAAAGAGCATTAGTAACAAAGTATGCTGGTTAGGAGCTCAGTTCTAGAGTTGCCTGAGAAGTTCTAATCCTAGTTCTGTTTCTTACTAGCTATGAAATTTTAGGCAATTTTTTCCAGTTTCTCTCATCTGTAAAATGATTACTTTAAGAATAGGGTTGGTGTGCAGATTAAATGTGACAATACATGCAAAGCACTTAGCACACTGCCCAAGACATTAAAATGATAAATTTAAGCTATTATACATTTTCTAATTTGATCCTGACAAGATTCATAAGAAAGTGGTAGGTCAGGTATTACTTCCATTTTATAGATCAGGCAACAGTTTCAGAGACATTAAATATTTGGCCAAAGTCAAATGGTAGAGTTAGAACTCTGACCTAGTCCTGAATTTCGTTCCAAAGTATTACCTTTCTCAAACTAAGATATTGGGAAAGATTGTGCCCTCAGAAAACATTACGCCCCCGCCGCCCAAAATAAACCACTTAACATTTAAAAACAAATTAGGCAGGCAGCATTTTTAATGTACTTTTATCCATACTGGAAAAAAAAACCCAAATGGCTAATAATTTCATATTTAAACAAAATTCTGCATTTAGCCTAGGATAAATGAGTAATGACGTCAAGATTTAACAATAACTTTGCTTTTAAAACAAATAAGGTCTTGGGGGGAGAGGGTGGGTGGAGGTGGAAGAGGGTATGGGGGAATAAATGGTAATGGAAAAACACAATAAAAAATAAAAAAAATTAATCCATTCAATGAAAAAACAAAACAAAAATAAGATCCTAAGTCAAGGATCTGAGTTATCTTTGATCAAAAAACACTCCAATCCCATTAGGACAGAGATTAAGTGTGTAGAAATCCCCTTCTCCATTTTCTTATTCATATTTAATTCAAGGAGTACAAAGGTGAATACTTTCAGTCAGCCTGAGCAAGGGCCATAACCCCAATGATTATGAGACTTCTGTCAAGCCATGAATAACAAATGTAAAAGGAAAAGAATAATTCTAAGCTTGAAAAATAATTGGAGGATTTTGCTTTGGTCTCTGGAGGTTAAATAAGATAATCATTGCATTGTAGTTAAACTGTCCTTGTGACATTTCACTTGAAAGCAGGGGGTTATGCCCTGACTGGTGTAGCTCAGTGGATTGAGCATGGGTGGCCTGTTTGATTTCCAGTCAGGGTACATGCCTGGGTTGTGGGCCAGGCCCCCCAGTGGATGGTGCACGAGAGGCAACCACACACTGCTATTTTTCTCCTTTTTCCCTCCCTTTCTCTAAAAATAAATAAAATCTTAAAAAAAAAAAGAAAGCAGGGGTTTAAAATCTTTAGAGAAAAGTACAGTAAGTGAATCTTAAATCATACATTTAGAAATTTCAAGCTAATAAAAAGAAGTGAACAGAGTTAAATAGAAAAAAATCTTTATTTTTCATATAAGAAAACAAGGTAGATTTTGAAATGACTTGTGTACATTGGTCTCTAAATCACTTAACAACTATTCATTATGAGCATACTTTATAGGATCTATTAATAGAGATTTTTAAAAAATTTATTTTATTCATTTATTTTTAGAAAGAGGGGAAGGGAAGAAGGAAGAGAGGGAGAGAAAGTTTGATGTGCAAGAGAGGAACAGCCATTGGTTGCTGCTTGCACACCACTAACTGGGGACCTGGCCGGCAATTAGTAGAGATTTAAATTAGACAATAATCATTTCCTTAAGGAAATTAGATTCTAGAGAGGAGATAAGAAACTTACACAAAGAATAATAATACTTATTATTTAAAGATTTTATTTATTAATTTTTAGTCAGAGGGGAAGGGTGAAAGAAAGAGAGGGAGAGAAAAATCAATGTGTGGTTGCCTCTCATGTGCCCCTGACTGGGGACCTGGTCCACAACCCAGGCTTGTGCCCTGACTGGGAATTGAACTGGTGACCCTTTAGTTCGTAGGCATCTCGGTGCTCAATCTACTGAGCCACACCAGCCAGGACTACACAAATAAATATAATATAATTCTACTTTACATAGGAAATGACAAGTACAAATAAAGAGGATATTAATAAATTAGTATGTTTAGAGTTAAGAGATTACTTCCAGCATCACAAATCACAGAAAACTGAGCAGTATCTAGATGGATAGAGATAGTAAACAGAAGCAGGTGTGGAAATGGAAAAAAAAAATGCCAGGGAGATATAGGGAATACAGTGTTTCAGTTTTCTGTCCAAAATATGTGAAAATGAAGACATGACTTAAGGGGCAGATGAATGATTTTAAATATCATATTGATTTTTAATGTTATTCTTTGTCAAAGAGAAGCCTAAAAGGGTTGGAGCAAGTAGTCACAAAAGGGCTTGGTGCTCTTTCACAGCAGCATGCCTCCTCAAACAAGAGTGACAGCAGAAGCCCCTGAGATTGCCAAAGGCCCAGTGTCCTTAGAGTCCAGTCCCAAAGGAGAGGAGACAGGGAAGAAGAGAAGCCAACATAAAAAGGAACCAGGAAGGCAAGAATGGAGAGAATGTCAAGACGACAGTCACTTGTACCTAATGCTGCACAAATTTTGAGAAAAATAATGTTGACAAGAGACCATTAGAAATGACGAGATACTGGAGATTGTTCAGAAACCAGTTTCAGCGGAGCATTAAGATTTGGAAGCCTTGGGAACCCAAGAGAGTAAGTTAGGTATCTGAAAACTGCAGATTTAAAAAAAAATTTAAACAGAAGATTGTTGAGCATTTACATGTTAAGAGAACAAAATCGGGGAAGAAGGAAATGTTTGAGATGGAGGCCAAATCTTGGAAAGTAAGGAAATGGAAATGAGGGGTTAAACCATTTTTTCAAGGAACTCGAATGAGAAATAAGAATCTCATTTAATCTTTACCCAGCAGACCAATACTATTATCTCTACTCTAAATAGGTAAAAACTGAAGCATAATGAGATTAAAAAATTTTCCACAGTAAAAAAGCTGGAAGTGGCAAATTGATTTTTTTTTCGAACCAAAAGTCAATGATGCTCCTGCCATACTACAAATGCCTAGAAGAATGAATCAGTGACTTTACTATGACTAACAAAATTAAGAACCTTCATCAAAATATTGAGAAAAACCTCTTGAATTTCTTTGTTTAAAAGATTTTATTTCTTTATTATTTTTAGAGAGGGGAAGGGGAGGAGAGAGAGAGGGAAGAAACATCAGTGTGTGGTTGCCTCTCGAGTGCTCCCTACTGGGGACCTGGGTCACAACCCAGGCATGTGCCCCAACTGGGAATCAAACCGGTGATCCTTTGGTTTGCAGGCCAGCATTCAAACCACTGAGTCACACCAGCCAGGCTGAGAAAAAGCATTTTTACACTTGATCTTAGCCAAAAGGCCAAGAAGCAATTAGAAAAAGCATTTTTAAAGGCTCAGTGATTAAGTATACTTGATACTGAGGCAATATAGGTTAGATCAGTAGCTGAATATTTAAAACTAAAATAGAAAATTTAAACACAAAAAGGTTCCAAAGCCAAACTAACAAGAATACGTACTTCAATATTTCTTCCCTGCACTGCCTCTGTGTGGCAAAACAAGCTATAGCCCACATTTTGATTTCAACCCCTGTGTGGAACTGTTTCCCTCGCATGTCCCATACTCCATGGCTTGGTGTTGCTACTGTCCGATTCTGTAAAAAAGAAAGAGAAATATGGCAATAAAGAACAAAACAGTTTATTTCAATAAGCATATATGCATATATCTGGTATTCTACATGCAATACGTTATTCTAAATCAATGTTAGTTATATTTTTATCATAGAAAAACACATTCTACTAAACTCAAGCAAAGACATCTTGAAACAAAAAGTATTGTTGGAACAATAAAACAGTTTTTAAATTACAGACTTAGCTCAGAATAACCTTCTCTCCATACACAGAAACTGTATGTTTATCATTAAAACTATCAAGAGGTTTTACCCGTCCTCCGTACTGGAGCATAGGAGCTGGAAGTACGCGTCCGGTCACATGGGCCATTTCATCTCGAACTTTAAATTGAAACTCCTGAACAAATGGATCCGTTTCATAATTTGCACTTCTTACCTAACAAGAGAAAGTCATTAATTACTTTCAAAATTTCCCTAATGTCCTGCTTTATTTATTAGAACTTTCTATTTTTTCACTATGTCAACAATGTTTTACAGCAGGTCTAGTTAATGGTGCCCTAAACTACAGAGAAGAGTTCATCTTAACCCAGGACCACTGATTATTAATGGACTGTAGGGCGGCTGTGAATGTCCTGGTAACTTATAGAAAATTTAAATGTATTAGGTTGAACAGTCGAAATTTCAAGTATCTACAACACATGAAAATGGTAATTCTATATGATTAATATATTTTGGGGAGGGTGATCTAGAGATTGTAAGAGAAATACCTAACTTAAATAAGGTTAAGAACCTCTAATTAGAAGATCCAGATATGTACTATTAAAATTACACAGGATTTAATAGCAATTATTGGTCATTATTTCCCCCTAATTACTATGGCACCCCCCCAATTACTTGATATTCAATTTATATAAAATTTACTTCAAGCCCTGGCTGGCGTAGCTCAGTGGATTGAGCGCGGGCTGGGAACCAAAGTGTCCCAGGTTCGATTCCCAGCCAGGGTACATGCCTGGGTTGCAGGCCATAACCCCCAGCAACCGCACATTGATGTTTCTCTCTCTCTCTCTCTATCTCCCTCCCTTCCCTCTCTAAAAATAAATAAATAAAATAAAATTTACTTCAGTATTTTCAGATAAAAAGTGCCATGTTATGAAAATTTACTTAATGGGATACATTTAAGATAGATAAGAAAGTCAGCATCGAATACGGATTATAATTTTACATAGTATATCCATACATATAAGGAATTTATCATAATTCAACATGGACTTGGCTCTCAAAGTGTAATTCATGTTTACAGAATGCTATATAGTAACAGTTTTTCAAAATATATTTACTTGGTCTCAGAGTAAAGGGCAAATAGGGCCACTAAGAGAAGGCAATGTTTAAGTCTTTGAGTAACAATCCATTAAAAAAAAACAACTATATGAGTCCTGGTTGGTGTGGCTCAATGTACTGAGTGCCAGTCTACGAACCAAAGGGTTGCTGGTCCGATTCCCACTCAGGGCACATGTCTGCATTGTGGGTCAGATTCACAGTAGGGGGCGTGTAAGAAGCAACCATACATTGATATTTTTCTTTCTTTTTCTCCTTCCCTTCCCCTAGTGTAAAAATAAATAAACAAAATCTTTTAAAAAACGATATGACCTAAATATGTAGAAAGAATCTCCCCAGAGTAAGCAGGAAAAGCTGTTTTCTAAATTAGGCACTGATGCATCTTTTTTCTATTTTTTTATTGTTCATGCTATTACAGCTGTCCCCACTTTTCCCCCTTTTTTACCACTTCCACCTAGGCCCTGTCCTCCCAAGCCCCTACCTGCAGGCCCTCACCACACTGCTGCCTGTGCGCATGGGTCATGCATATATGTTCTCTAGCTAATCCCTTTACCTTCTTTCTTTCATCCCTCCCTTCCCTTACCCCTCCAACAGCTGTCAGTCTGTTCCATGTATCTAATGTCTCTGATTCTATTTTGTGCCTCAGTTTATTTTGTTCACAAGCCAGTCATGGGTGCATCATTTCTTCAAGCTTAAACTCCATCCACTTCTTGTGTGTATTTTTCCATAGTAAGATTATATAGAATAATAACTTCTATTTACCAAGACTCACTGCATGATGTGCTAGGTGCTAAATGTTTAATCATTAATTTTGACACTAGTCTTATATAATAAATTGGAAGTAGTTACTGAAATTTTATATAGTGAGAGGTTCTAGTCTCTTTAAAGTATTAAATCTTGTCATAGTGGATCAGAGAAAAATCCTTGAGAACCACCCTGTATTCTGCTAATTAAATATCATGTAACAACTTTTATGCACTCCTTATAAAACTGTAAGGAATAAAGCCCTTTCTTCTGTAATTGGCTTACAAAATGAAGGAGCCCTGTAATCTTTATTCAACAATCTTTAAAATTGCTTTTGAAAGTGTTTTTAAATTGCTTTAGGTAATATTCACATTTCCAGACTTTTTTCTCTTCACTCGGACAATTTAAATGATAGTAAAGAACATAAAATCCAGGTGCCTTTTATTTTTCATTTTACCTTATCACATCAGTTTTATAAAGTGGTATTGATAATTCCTCTTTCCTCCCCATTTAGAATGAGAGAGCTTAGAAACCCTACATCAGCGATTTTCAACCTTTTTCATCTCACTGCACGCATAAACTACTACAATTTTGTGGCACACCAAAATTGTATTTTTTGCCAATCTAACCAAAAAGTAGGTATAATTTTGACTCATTCACACTGGACAACTATTGTGTTGGCTGCTGTCATTTTTTTTCTTTTTTGGCAATCTAAGGGAAAAAGAGGTCAGTGTCCCTGAGTAAATAGTTAGGTATTACATATTTAAAAAATTCTTGTAGCATACTAGTGTGCCTGCCATGGCACACTGGTTGAAAATTGCTGCCCTCCACAGTTAGAGCTGTTTTATATTTCTTTATTCATCTTGTAGTTGCCATCCTGATACTGGGAACTAGGCATTTCTATCCTGAGTGTTAGATTTTCACTATCACTAGTCATAATACCTTTACTTTTCTTCCTTTTACCTTCCTCTATTAGGTGGGAGGCAATAAAGTTTCAGTTCACTAAATGGAAACATTAGTTCTGAGAGAATCTGTTCTGTACCTAATTAGAGTTTGGGATTAAATTAGAAGAATCTAACCCTTCTCATAGAACCCACTAAGGTTTACCCCCAGAACACCACTAGATTATTTACTTCTATGATTCCTTTTAATTCTGATAGCTCAAGAAACAGCAATAAGGTATGAGCTGATAAGGATATGGTTCTTCAGTAGCTCACTCTAAACACACACACACACACACACACACAGTGGTACTTCAGTACTCATTAATTCATTCCCATGAAGGGCGAGCAAGCAACAATTGCAACATTTTCTCTTGTGGGGTGGCATCGTTACTCACAAATTCTAGCAGGTCTAATGCTTGAATTCAAAGTACTGAAACATTTTTTCTTGTCAAAATGTGAGGAGGATCAGTTCTGACCAGTTCTGAAGGACGAGTACTGAGGCATCACTGTGTGTGTGTGTAATGTTACCTTATTATTTATCTACTTTAGAGACAGGAAAAGGGAGGGAGAAAGAGAGAGAGAGAAATACTGATTGGTTGCCTCTGGTACGCCTCCCCCCCAAAACAGGGGACCAAACCCCAAACCCAGGCATGTGTCCTGACCAGAATAGAACTGGTGACCTTTTGCTCTGTGAAACCAACCAACTGAGGCACACAGATCAGGGCTGTCTTAATATATTTTTAATTCCCATGTGTAGGGTTAAGTACTAACCAATCTGCTAATTTCGTCTTGTCTATCTGGTGCAGATCTTGCTGTTGCTTTGATCATAGTGGAAGTCTGATTGTCTGTTAGCTTCTTGATGCATCGCTGCCCTGCCACAATATTACAAACCTATAAATAAAAAAACTAGATGTATATATCTTTTTTTAACTCAGTGCTAATTACATATAAAAAGAAGAAGAATGTACGCTTGAATAAAAAGGCTGAGAAGGAGTGTATCAAAATGCTAAGAGTGGTTACATTTAGAGTAGCAGGATTGTGGATATATTTTTTCCACATTATTTTATTACCAAAAATTTGGAATAAAACTGAAAAACAAATCTCCAAAATAAATGTGAGTATAAATTTACAGCCCATAACAGACCACAACAGAAAGATGAAGCCCAAACACATTACTTCTAGTGGTAGATATGTGTGTTTCTGCTCCTGCCCCACTTGCAGACAGGGAAGGTGTGGGTACTTCAGCTGAAGAGTATACTTTTCTCTGAAATACTGTGCTACTGTTCTCTCCACAGTTTGGCCATTTTCTAACTGTAAAGGGAAGCTGTAAAAAAAAAGGTACACATTAATAACTCATCTCATTATGAGCCAGCAAAAGTCCCAATCTGCTAACTAAAGCAAGCCACCTCATATCCTCTCTGCTAATAAACACCAGTTTCTCTTACGTTTGATGATTGGCAGGCCTTCTTGTTACATTACAAACCCGGTATTTCCGTCTCATTGTTCCACAATGAGTCACTTCAACCTTCAGACCTGTTCCCAACAAGAAAAACTGAGGTTACAGAACTGTCACGTGAAAAATATTTGTATCTATAAAGCCTGTTCACCATTAGAAAAACTCAAATTCTAAACGGAAAACCTGTGATATAGGTACTGTGATAGTAATAAAGGATTTTATATACAACATTGCAAATAATGGTTACAATCACAACAGACCTAATTCCAAACCTTTTTCCCCTGTCATGTCCAACTCTACACATTAAAGAAACAGTATCATAAAATTTTCAACCCTGTAGATCAAGGGGCAAAATTCTCAATTAAAAAAAAAAACTTATTTACAATAAAGTCCAGTGTTTATGCTGGGAAAGGGAAGGAGGAATGAAAGGGGTTGCGGTAATTCTCAGGATATTCTATAACCTTCAAAGTGTGTGAGAGCTGAATAGCCCAGTCATCACATACTGAGTGAAGATCAGAATTTTATCAAGTTCAGGACAAGTCCTTCACAGCTTTTTAAAGCAGGGAAGAAAAAAAAAAATCCTGGCCTTTTAAAATTTAAGCGGAGTAACAATTTTGTGTAAGTATAAAATAGTGACACAGCTTTTACTACTGACTGTTAGAAATCAAATGCAACCAAAATAATTCCTAGATCAGATGATCCCTACTTTCTTATAGAATCAATGACCTCTTTGAGAATCTGATGAAAGCAATAAACTCAGGAAAATACACATTATTTACCATATGATTTTATATGTTCCTAGATTCTTATAGCCCATCTGTGGACTCTAGCGCAGTGATTTGCAACCTTTTTTCATCTTGTGACACACATAAACTAATGACTAAAATTCTGCGACGCACCAAAAAATATTTGTTGCCCATCTGACAAAATAAAGGTATAATTTTGATTTACCCCCCCCAAAAAGGAAAAAAGTAATTGCCTACTCTTTTTGCTCCAAAGTGACTTTTAAAAAAAATCAGGTGCCTGTACTTGTATATAGGGATTTCTAGTACTAAGAATCAACCAATCAGATGCAACCTTATTATGCGATGTGACCAATAAGATGCAACTCTACTTATTATAAGACCTATATATTTATGGTTCAAGACAGGGCATTCACACTGGATGACTATTATTGTGTTGGCTGTCATAATTTTTTATTGACAGTCTAAGGGAAAACAGGTCAGTGCCCCTAAGTAGTCAGGTACTGCATGTTTTAAAAATTCTTGCGACACACTGGTTGAAAATCGCTGCTTGAGGGGTTTCTGGATCCCAGGCCTGTTTTAGAAAGTGAAGCAACGAACTTTTAAATCATTGGCTGAAATTCTTTGGGATGAATTTTCTTAAGCAGTGCTGTCTAATAGTTTTCTGAGATGATAAAATACAAGTTTTCTATCTCTGTGCTAATATGGTAATCACTAGCAATATGTATGACTGAGAAACTGAAAATTCAATTTAATTCTAACTAGCTTAAATTTTAAAAGTTACATGTGGCTAGTGGTTACTGCATAGGTCAGTGGTTTCAGAGCTACCTAGAGAAGAGTTAAACAGATACAGTGGCTACTGCTCACGGATAAGCAACTCCACTTCTGTGGCCCACAGTCCAAAGGTGGAAAATCTAAAAAGCGGTAGATGGAGGACAATTTTAGTTCCGTGCTAGTATTTACAGTTATTTTTGTATTATTTTCCTTTTATGCCTGTGATTCCTATAGTGAAGCAGTTCTTAAACAGAGGTGATTTTGCCCTCCAGGAAACATTTGGTAATATTTGGAGAGTTTTTAAAACATTTTATTTTTCAATTACAGTTTACATTCAATATTATTTTGTTTGAGTTTCAGGTGTATAGTATAGTGATTAGACTATCATATTGCTTTACAAAGCGATCATCCGATACTTCAAGTACCAACTGGTATAATACATAATTATTACAATATTATCAACTGTATTTTCTATGCTGTACTTTGTACACATTTTTGATTGTCACAGCTAGGGGTGCTATTGGCATCTGGTGGATGCTAGATTTAGGGATACTCAGATCCAGAGATGTTGCTAAATATCCTACAATGCACAGGGCAGCACCAACTGCCACCTCTGACCATAGTAAAAAATTATCCAGCCCAAATATCAACAGTGACAAGGTTGAGAAACCGTACTATAGTATAACTAATTTTCCTATCTAATTATACAGAATCAAATATAAAGTTTGCTCACAGTAGTTTTTTCTGATCCATCAGCAAAAATTAATGTTAAATGAACACAGTGTCACGGTACCAGATTGGTAAGGGTTTTTCTTGAGTACTCTATTGAATCAGTGAGAAATAATTTTTTAACAATTACCTTTTCATAAAACTAAAATTTCAGATCTATGTCTCTACATCATCAAGAATACTAGAAAATAAAATATTATCAAGGGAATGCCTTAAAAGAAGGAAACATGTTTACGGAAAAAACAGAGATAATTTATAACAAATTTCTGTTATCTTATACTACTTAGCATTTTGTTTTCAAGTCTTCCCCCTAAATTAAACAATTTATTAATAAGGTTCTACAAGCCAACTGTAAGTTTTTACAGAAAATAAATTAGTATTCTTATATACATATGGTACTTCTACCATACACTTCCTGCAGTATTTCTGCTGTTTAACCATGATGAACTACTGCACGAAGAAACCATTCTCATAGTTAGGAGAAAGTTCAAATGGAACCAAACAAATATACTAAAGAAATGTATTCACACTTTGTATAGCACACTTTAAATCACTATTTAATTTTTCATCAAATTCCTCGTACCAGCTGAAAATTAAACCCAAATATATAGCCCAGAACATGTAACTTTCATTTTTTTGATTTACTGTGGTAGGAATACATGATATATTTTTAAGAGCCCTCTTTTAAAAAAAGAAAGCCCCCTTGACTTGGAGTGGAGAAAAAAATCATTAGTTTGTTAATTAGATCCAGCTCAGATTTTTTTCTATAGTCATAGGCTCCAAATCCAGGGGTTAGCACAAAGTTGAAATTTAAAAAAATGAACTACATAATTCTTTGCCCAGGTTCCTCTCCAAACCCTCCATTCTGGCTTTAATAAATATTTAACCTATAACTTTAGCTTTACCTTCACTATAACATCAACTTTATAATGCTTTTGAACCATTTTTTTTTCAGTCATTACTTTAGGTCCCTGAGCAGTTGAAGTTAAGATCGAGTCCATACTTTTTGGGCAGCAGTTGAATCCTTGTTCTGTAAATCTTGTATTTTCTGTGATAAAGTGGCGGTATTAGTTGCCTGTATAGTTACTGTAAGATAATACTGATTTCATGATATGAGAGGCGGTAATTAAGCAGTAACTCCACTGGGAACCATGGCATTTAGATAATCACATATTAATGGTATGTAATGCACTACCTCCCAGAATGCTCATCATGCAGTTAATACAGATTAATAATACAGAAAGGATAACGGTATAACTGCAATAGAGCATTACATAACATTTTCTTATTTTGGTACTTTGATTACTTGAGATAAATGGATGCTTATTTTCAAAGTTGTAAGGATTTTCCTTGTAATGTTTTATTATAATGATTACCTCTTTCCTGGTCACTAAAGAATGACTGATGACTGTAACAAGCAGGATGTATTCAGCTACTCTGAATCAAAACTGCTCTTCAAAAATCCTTTAACTTGTTGATAGAGTCAGTGTATGTGGGTTTGCATATAACACTGTATATGTATATTTAAATGTATATAGAAATGTACCTACATATAAAGAGTAAATATATACAAAATACACGTTTTAGAACTCTATTAAAATTTGTTTCTTTTTTTTGGAAGACCGTGTAGAGAGGTGAGTTTATATTAGTAAAACACACATGATGCAGCACCACTGCACACATTTTAGCTACTAACTAAAAAAGGCAAGATATGTGGTCAACTGTATCATGTATATGAAATAACTATGTTCCAACTCTAGAAACCGGCTAGCCCACATCCATACATTTTTAAAAGGATAAAATAGTCTGTTATCATTTCAGAAATATAAGTCACTATATTAGAATATGTTCAAAGGATGATTCCAGTTCTAAAGTAATAATGTTTCTGAAATCAACTTTCTACATTTAATGGTATTATAGAAGTATTTCCCTATGAGATGCTCTTATACTTCAGCTAGTATGAAAAGGTATTAACAGGAAATTAGCTGGTATTAATATTAATTCCATCATTTGGTACTTCTTTCATTAAAACATTACCTGAGATGTTAAGGTAATGAACTTAATGCAACATTTTATACTGGATTTTTACTTTACTGGTAATGCTACATGACTAGATTTTAATGAAAAGTTTTTTCAATAAAAGTTTGTTATACCCGTAAAGTTTTATAATTAAGTTGTTCCAAATGCTAATTCACCTTTTATCTCTTTGGTGAATTTTACCCGATGAGAATCAGTCAGAGGTCTTGGTTGCTCATCAATATTATGAATGTCAAGAACTTCACACATGAACTGAATTACAGGTTGTGCTTTGTAGAAGGCAGTGGCAGAAACTAAGAAGAAAAACACAAATAGTACAGATTAATGTTTCCTTAAAAAAAAAACACTATCAGCCTTGATGATAATGAACTAGAGTTAAAAGTATCCTTTATGTATACTTACATACATATAAAAATATTTTCCAATTAAACAGTTTCAATTTGATCTGTTTGACTGCAAGACAAGCACAAGAACAGAAAAGCTAAACACTACAGTTCTTATAATCTATCTCTTTCACCATGGTAATTGAATCATTGCATTCTCTACTACACGTACAGAGAAGTGTTCTGGGTGTGAGACAAGGCTTGTAAAAGGACAAAGAAAGCCTGAGCTCCTTAGCAAATAGAAAGATTACGTATTATTTCTTAAACAAAGCATTCTATGCCACTCCAGAGTGTTTATTCTAATGAGAGCTTTCCCTGTCTTGTACAGATTTGAGAAGACAGCAGTATTAAATGTTATTAGTACTAATGCAAGCTATAGTTAGTAATAATAGTAAGGAGTATCTGCCCAATGTTATCTAGCTACAACTGAAATTTTCTAATAGTCAATCAGCATGATTTCTTAATGTTGGGTTTTGGAACTGGAAGAGCTTCACAAATGGTTGGTAGATCACTTTCACATATTTCTTAAGTGCATACTTAGTGACTGCTATTATATGCTATAAAGACAGTAAGGATATAATGAAAAGTAAAACCAAAACAGACAATAAGCTACGTGCTATATTTTCCTTCTTAAAAAAACATGTCCACTGTCTGCTAAGTGTAAACTTTTTATGTGGTGCTCTTTCTCTCTCTCTACTTGGTTTAGGATTGTTCATCCTCCACAAACTATCCCTTACCTCTAGAAGAATATTTATCAAGGCTTTAATAGCAGTTATCTAAGGATGTGTGTGGGTGGTGAAGCTACTGTAGATACTTTTATTTTCTCCTTTTTATCTTTAAATCTTCATTTATTATAGTGAGCACATATTCTCTTTTCCTTTATTATAAATTCAAATACATACATACAGAATAAAGACTTCCTCCAGTCTCCAAGTAACCATTGTTGCAGGTAAATATGTGTAGATATACTGTGTTCTTCTGATGTGCACTTCCAGAGATAAAATGTACACACGACCTTTTTTTACATGAGATCAATGTTGTATGGCTTATTATGATTTTTTAAAATTAATGACGTGTCTTAGAGATCCTTCCATGTCATAACATTCTTTATAATGGCTTCATTTTATTCTACAGTTTGGTGAATAATAATTAAGTAAATATATAGACCCTTTCCCTCAGTGAAAAAGAACAGAAATGATAAAACATTAGAAACACTATTTTGGGCTTTTCTTTTTTCTCATTATATAACTTACAGATCAATCTACATGTACAAATATGGAACTGTACCATCATTGATCACAACTGCAGGATATCTCATTGCATGGATGTATCCAAAAATTCAAGTCCCTAATAATGAATAGTTACATTGGTTTTGTTTTTTTTACTAGCACAAAAAATATTCTAATGGCCTATGTGCGTGTTCAAGTACATGCAGGAGCACTTCTCTAGGAAGATTTAAGAGGAATCAATACTCAGTGCTAAAATTCCATCCAAATAAACTTAAAAACACCTCCACAATTTCAAATACTTAAAAAAGAAGAGACTGATAAGACTGGATTAGCATTCTGGATATTTGATTCAAATTCAAAGTAGTTTTAAAAATGCATACATTGCCCTGGCCAGGTGGCTCAGTTGGTTGGAATGTCTTCCCTGCACCGAGAGGCCACAGGTTCAATCCCCCATCGGGGAGGCTATGGGAGGTAACCAACTGATGTTTCTCTCTCACACTGATATTTCTCTCTCTCCCTAAAATCAATAAACATATCCATGGATAAAGATTTTTTAAAAATGTATACATTATATTCTATTGAAAATGTATGGTGGTTACCAGAGAGAAGGAGGTGGGAGGGTGGCAGAGGGTAAAGGGGGCCAATATGTGAAGATGGAAGATGATTTGACTGTGGGTGGTGGGGACACAATATACAGATTATGTATCATAGTCATATACACTTGAAATCTATATGACCCTATTAACCAATGCCACTCCAGTAAATTTAATAAATAATTTTGTTAATTTAATAAAAATTAAAAAGTAAATTTAATAAAAAAAATAAAAAGAAGGAAAACTGTTCTTGTGCACTGAAAAAAGGCTGGCAGGACACATACCAAATAAGCACATATTGTTTCTAGGTTAACTTTTTTTTTTTAATATTTTATTTATTTATTTTTAGGGAGGGAAGGGAGGGAGTGGGGGGGAGAGAGAGAGAGAGAGAGAGAGAGAGATATCAATGTGCGGTTGCTGGGGATTATGGCCTGCAACCCAGGAATGTACCCTGGCTGGGAATCGAACCTGGGACACTTTGGTTCCCAGCCCGCGCTCAATCCACTGAGCTACGCCAGCCAGGGCTTCTAGGTTAACTTTTAAAAATTAAGTAAATAAAGGAAAATAAACATATGATAAGTAACACGTTTGTCTTTCCTTTAATCCTACAGATAAATTTTCTTCACTGGATTACTGTAATACTAACTTTTACAACCAATGTGTCCTTACATCAACGTTGGAGCTACGGAACGAACATTTATCCTATTTAACATTCTATTATTTTTCCTTACTATGTATTGCTCTATGCTTCCTAATCATTTTACTGTTTACTATCTTCTCTAGAAGAAATGTGTGCATCTGAAGTGACAAACTTCATGGAAAAGAAGCCTTTAGGGCCTCAACATGTGGCACGGAGCGGGACCTCTCTGGCACCCCAGCCTGCAGGTCGCTCACGGAGGCCTGGGCTCAGGCTGTCCGCCCATAACCAGGAGCTTCTAGCTGCCGCTACTGTGCAGGCTGCGGCGCCCGGCTTCTACACACCTCCTCTGTGGCCCATGGGTGGCTGCTCCTCACCAGAGCCCACGTGGGACCCAGGCCAGGAGGAGCTGCTGAGGTGGGTCAGGGCAGTGGCGATGTGGACACTGAGAGTTTGGGCATGGACGTGGAGGAGCTCAGAAGATGATACAGTCCCACTTTTTGATGATACAGAACCGTGGGGGTGCAATATTACCAACCAAAGGAAAAGTCGGTGACTCTCTGCTAGATATGATTGAAAATAATCTAGATATTGATGGCTTGGGTGCATGTGAAGGAACCTTGGCTTGCTCTGTCACCTCATCTTTGAAAGCACCTATATGAGAAATTAGAAGCAATTTCTGATGAGAATGGCATGCTTGATCTGCTATTTGGGCTAATTGGTCCTGGCTGGGCTGCCAAATCTGACAAAGTCTATGGAAAAAATGACTGTTCAAGTGCCTGATGCCATGGCCAGTGCCAGACAATCTACTGAAATGGGCAAGAACTCTTAGGAGAGAATAAATAGGAATATTTTCACAAAGTTTAACCTATTTTATATAAATATTATTTTTAATATAATTAAATGAGAGCACAGATGAATGGGTTTATCATTATGACCAGCTTTACTATTTTAATTCACGTTGTATAATTACTGAATTTTATCGTTTGAAAATATGTAACTCTTTATTTGGTTAAAATATAAAAAGAAATCAAATATTGGAAAACAGCATAATAAAATGTTACATATTTTACCTTGTTTGTTTACCAACTTTAGCAAAATGTTTTCACATAAATCCAATGCCTGCTTCCCTCTAAAGCAGGTTTAAAAAGTTATTACTTATTATCCCTGTTAGATGTGGGTGAAGGCAGAGGTCTAAAATGCATTGTCCATGGCCATAGAGGGAATTAGAAAACCTGTACTAGAACCCACAGCTAGAACAAGTTAGATGTTCAGATCGAAACTGGAGAAATTATGAATATCTTATAGTAGTAATTAAGCGTGAATGTGAATGGGAAGCACTCTGTGAATTGATTAATTTAGAAGACAGCTGTTATTATACAAATGTTTCAAAAATTTTTAAATAAGCTCTTACAAAAGATGGGTTGAGTACAGTAGAATTAGGTATGAGTTTCAATGAGCAAAGATCTGCTTTAAATTCCTTGGTCGAATCCTTAACATTTTATAAACCTACACATATACGTATTTTATTCCTTCCCCTTTCATAAATTAGCTAATTTTAATTGAAAAATATTTGTTAAACCTTAAAAAAATCTATTAACAAAATACACCAGATTAATGTGCTAAAGGAAATAAGCATACAATAATTTCCACAGATGCTCCGCCGCCCCAAAAAAGCATTAGATAAAATTCAGTACCATAGCTAATACTCTCACTGTACCAGGGTTAGAAGGGAACTTTCTTAATTTGATGAAAGTTATCTATCAAAAATCTATGGCAAGTTTGATGTCAGTTGATAAGAAGTCCCAGCTAGCACAGTAATTCAAGTTAAAAGAAACAAAAGGTAAAGAGAATGGGAAAGGAGAAACAAAATTATTATTCTCTGCAATATTACTGTCTACACAGAAAGCTCAATAATCTACAGATGAATCAGAGGATTAATGAGAGAGTTCAGCAATGTTGCTAGATTTAAGATCAACATATGAAAATATATTACATTCTTATGCATTAGCAACCACCTTAAAATGTAATAAAAACTTAAAATCACAACAAAAAAACATAAGGTAATTTGAATGAAATCCAAACAAAATATGTACAAGACCTATAGAAGTAACAGGTGTCTTTACTATTGAAATATATTACAGAAGGTCTAAATATATGAATATACCCAATTCATGTACATTATCTCCAAATAAGTCTGCAATTTCAACCAAAATACCAACAGGGTACAACCCCCGCAACCTCTGCAACTTAAGAAGCTAATACTAAAATTAATATGAAAAAGTAATAAAACAAATAGTCAAGATAACTTTTAATAAGGTCCTATCATTCATCATGATTTTTTAAATCCCATTCATATTAAGAGACTGTACGGACAGACACAGAGACTAGCAGAAGAGACCTGAAAGCCTACAGCATACTCTATACAAAAGCAAATTCCCATTCAGAAAA